TATTTTCAAATAAACCTAATTGATACAAATTATATTTATTTTTTTGTGTTCTCTCAAAACCTCTTCTAATAAATTCTTGTGCTTCTTCTTTATTTGGGTAACTATCTTCAGCTCTAACTATTTCTTTTCCTTTTCTCCTAATGAGTTCCATTTTCTATTATCAAAAAGATTTATCTTAGGTCTTCTAATATGATTATTTGTACTTAAAGTTCAATTTTCTAATTTTTCTACCAAAAATGGTAGAAGTGATGAAGATGTGTTATGTAAAACTTGGTTTATTTTTTCTACTTGTTCTTCAACTTGTTCTAATTTCTCAGCCAAACTTAAAACTAATTGAATAATTAAATTATTTTGCCTAATGAGAATATTACTACTAGCTACTTGTGTTGAAAAATCTGTTAAACCTACTGGTTCTTTATCTAGCTTGCTAATTTCTTTCAAAGCTTGGATATATTTTCTGCTAGTTCTAGAATCAGTCATTAAACTAATAATCTATCTATTTTATTATGTAGCTTATCTACTTGTTCACTCAACTCTTTTTGCACTAATTGAATTTTTTGAACTTCTAATTTTAACTACTCAACTATTTCTAATGATCTAAGTTCTACTTGCTTAGGCTTACTATCAATGAGGTCAACAAGCTCTTTTATCTCTCTTTTGCTAGGAAAACTTTGAATATTTTTATTATTATCTTCTAACTGAGATGTAATATAATCTAAATTTTGTGTAATTGTTTTTATGGAATTTTTCTGAAAATGCTCTAACAACGGGTTTAACAAATGATTATGCTTATAATTTTCTAATTTTATATTTTCTGCTTGATTAATAATAAGATTTACAATACTATTGGCTTGTGGATTTTCTTTACTAGGCAAAATATGATTATGTTTTCTCAATGGAAAATAACAAACTAAACTATTTGGGTCTAAAGTTATTTTTCTTTTTTGTGGTTCATTAATTTCTAAATTAAGATAATCTATCATAAACTAGAATCTACCTTTCTCTAAAGTTATGGCTAACTGGTTTCTTAGAAACTCTCTTTCTTCTCTCAGGGTCTCTAAAGTTTGATCTGTTGCTCTTTTTGCTTCTAAAACTTTATGTTGCACTTCTATATTATTATATTTACTAATAAAGATAACCAAGATAAAACTTTTGCTTCTTCAAAGTCCTGATAATTCTTTTGGATATGTATGCTAATCTTCTCTTTATACTAGTTATAGTTGGGTGTCTAGGACAATAAATACCTAGTGGTTGTGGTTGACACAAGGTCAGCAAGGACAATAATATATGTTGTTCATATAAACAAGTGTGATATCAGTTGTGTTAATGACTTCTGTCCTCAAGGTACTTTACTATTATAATTATACTATTAAAATGCTGAACTTGGCTTTGATACCAAATTCATGAAGTAGGCCCGGTTAAATAGTCGGATGACCATTATAAAAACTAGACATAAAACCTTGCACATGGAACTCGACATGTTTGAACATGATGGCCACTCACAATGCAGGTATAAGGTCTTAACGGCTGAATTCAGAGGTACTAAGAACTCAGAGGTACCCTGGTTAATATTCAGTTATTTGTATGGCAAGCATTCAACTATAACAGAGTGCTCGAACAAAGTATGATCGTTAGTTTAGCAGGTTAATAATATAACTACAATAGTGTTTCCCTGTTTTGGACTAGAAGTCTATTTAAACAAATACACTAATGAAAGAAAAGAAAACACTTACTTAAGACTTGGAGATTGCTTGAATATGTACACTTGAACTTTTATTCATATATAGTATGTTTACAAAGAGAAATGTTTACAAAGAAGTGTTTACAAAGGATGCTAGGAAGGTTTGAGATGCTTAGGTGTATGAGGATTGAAGTATGGTGTGAGTATGGTGTCTATCAGGTGTTGAGGTGTTGAGGTGTTGAGATGTTGAGGTGTGTTTGTACAATGAAGGGAACTTCTCTTATATAGACTGGGTGAGAATACTCTGATTTAAAATCATTACAAATGTATGGTATGGACATCTCCTTGGTATTTGTCATCTTCTACTATTGCTGAAATTGTCAGCACTGTTTCTGAAACGTGGTCTGATTTATTTGTCTTCTTTTTTGCTTTGCATGTGAACTTGCTTGTCCTGATAAATGCATGTGAGCTTTCCTGCATGGTTGCCTCCTGTAGCCCAATTTTAGCTTTTGCATGTGATATCCCTGAAATGCTTTTTCCCTTGTCTCCTTTCCCACGCCCAATTTAGGTATTATAGAATTGTTTTGTCCTGATGATTAAAAGGAAAGCTTTTTAGGGGTTTTGGTTAGTTTTCTATTGGAAAAATGATTCCAAGTGATTGTATACGTAGACCTCAAAATGAAATACAAAAATTCCAATTCAAATTGATGTGACTAGGGATGGCAACGGTTCGGTTTGGGGACGGAAATACTATATCCATCCCCATAACCACAAAAATTAACCATACCCATAACCGCAAAATAACCATCAAGGATTATCCATAACCATATCCACCAGGTAACGGATTTTCAATCGGTTATCGGTTATATCCATCTTTGTAAAAAAAAAAAATTATATTAATCCAATTGATGCACTATAAATTTTAGTAAATACTAATTCTGCCATTAAATTGCCACATCCAATTACAAAAAATATAACAATATATATTTGAAGTTGTTCGTGATAAGCCAATATGATAAATTGGTCCAATAAAAAAGAAAAAGAGGACAAAAACAAATACGAAAGGAAGACAAAACAAATTGTCTAATCATTTCAAAACTTGTGATGACAAAAGAACGACGTTTGATGCATAATAAAGATAGTATAGAATTGATGAGGTTGTTGGTATGTGCTATGTATGATGTTTGGTGCATAATAAAGATAGTATAGGGTTTGATTCATGCATAATGAATTAGTACTATAGGGGTAGGAATAATTGAATATGTTGTGGGCATGATTCCAAGATTTCGAAAGGCATAATTGAATAAAATTATAATATATATCAAATATATATATATATATATATAATATTCGGATTGGATTTGGGTACGGATATGGATTGGGTACCCTTATAACCATATCCAAAATCATAACCGAATAAAGTTCACGGTTTTTCTCTATATCCAAACCATACCCGAATTTTCATATCCAAATCCAATCCATTTGGACGGTTATCCACGGTTATCGAGTTTAACAGTTAGAATTGCCATCCCTAGATGTGACACTATTTATTTTTGTTTATTTTTAAGTATATTTCTAATAAATAATGTATTTGTTGTGTTACCTGACTAACATTAATTAGTGTTGATATTTTGGGGAAAGTTTCGATGACTTTGTCAATTCAAGACCACCAATGAGGAGGGGTTTTGTTGCTTTCTCATAAATGGCCAAAACACGTATGGTGCAAGAGACCTTATCAGCTTGTGTACTTCAGAGATATTTCATAAATCATCATACAATACTAGTACAAGGCATGTGTAAGAAACATGGCTAAAATCAAGAATTCCTGAACTAAATGAACGGCCTAGAAACAGCATCCACTTAAAAATTCCCACTTATGTTTATGTACAGATTTTCTTTCGTTGTTGGTATTTTTTCTTATCTCTATGCATTTCACCGATCTTTTCTCTTTCCATACTATACTCTAAACAATATTCTAAATTAGTAATTTCCACTGCATGTCCATATTAAACTTTGCAATTTGACAGTAAACTTAAAAAAAACACTTGCATACGCTTAATTTAATCATTAGATATAATTGAAGAAATAATATTTTTCACACTCACATCATTTAAGTTACAACACTAGTAGTTAACTATTGTATAACTCTCCACGCTCAGTCCAGAATGATTGAGCCTAAACGTACAGGAAGTATCAAAATCGCTACCCTAGTGAAATACTCTCTTACGAAAACTATATATATATATGTGTATTATTATTATTTTTTAATTGAGCAAGCACAATGATAGAGAGGGCTTAGCTATCTACTAAAGGCCTTCAATGAATCTGTAAAAGTGAGCAGCAGGCATTAGGTACTATGAATTCTTTGGTGAGAAGGTATCCCAAGGCATTCAATTCTCTCCTGAGTCTCAACAAAGCAAAGAGGGTGCAACTCCCTCAAGAACCTTGCCGTGACAGAGACAAACCCTACAGTACTACAAATACTCACCATCTACGTCCTACACCACACTCCTCCCAAAAAACAAAGTACAACTCGAAAAAAAATTAATTAACTGTTAGAATAGAATTATTGTAATTTTGTATTAGGTCCTAGGGTTTTCTATATATCTTTTTCTGAACTAACGATATTATCTATATTTAGGGAAAGGGAGAGTAGACTTAACCTCACAATGGACTAACAATAATGAGTTAAGGATCCTCTTTGTGAGGATTTTAGGGATCCTCCAATCACATCCGTTCATCATACATCGTGTGACCATTTTTTGTCAGGTACTGTTTATATTCAATTTTAAATAAAAAAAGTTCTAATGATTTTTGGCCGCACAATGAACGATGAACGGATGTGATTGGAGGAACCTCCTGGAGCAATAATGAGGTTCAAATTCACCTTTGGCGAGATCCGAACCTAATACCTCTCCCTTATAAGTGAAGAAGAATACCATTAAACCGTAGTACTAATTAAGTGGTGGTTTTCCATATATCTTGAATTGATTAATTAGTTTTAATCAGGTCCTAGGGTTTTCTATATACATCATGAATTGATTAATTAATCTTAATCAGGAAAAACAGCATACCTTAACTGGTTTTATTATTTTCCTTGAAACTGAACTTCTTTATGTAGTTCATGCTGGAAACCTAGATACTATAGCTAGTTCATAATGCATTAATTTATGACTTTGGGCTATTTCTGACCGAAATATAGAGACTGGACCAAAATATATAGGGATTACAGATGGAGAACTAAATTCATTGCCGAGCAAGCTTACCTTGTTTTATGAACAACTTACTTACGGAAATCACAAATTAATAAAACACAAAGGAACCCAAAAAAAACAAAATAAAATAAAACAATATGAACACTCTCCGGATGGATAGTATAAGTACTAACTACGATACATAATTAGCATAATTTGCTTCTATAAACACATAAAGCCCTCTAGTTTAATAAGCCTTGTATAATCACTCACACTCTTTAGATAGTCTTTAATACATGACATCCTTGAGAAGCTTGTACCTGCGCGTAGTGGTTCTTGGTGATGGCGCGCCGCTGCTAGGATGGTTCTTGGTGTTAGCTTTTTCACTGCTACCACCTTCTTGTTGATGATCGTGTTGCTTGATCTTGTGATCCCCGGAGTATTCTGACCGGCTCGAGGCACCTCCAGTCTCGATTCCTCCTCTGGTCACCATGCTTGATTTCTTGGAAGAGCTACCGTGCCTTGTTGTGCTCCTCTCTTGATCACTTCGGCACCAATCGCACAGTTCAATTGGCTCCGCATACTCTCTATAATAGTTACTACAATACCTAGAATTAACAACTGTTGTCTATGAGATTCGACCTTATTGATTGAGAAATTAATTCATAAGCACATAACACAATTTCACATGGGTATCGTGCTTAATTAGTAAATGAGTTTTTCTTGTTCTTATCAGCTTTATATTAATTGAAATATTGACATAATAGGACTAGGCATGGTTGCAGCATTATAGACATTTTTATACAAATATATGTTGTTGATGATGACATAGGATGCATATCTCATGGTCTTATTATACCATGATGATCATGAGCATCATATATATGATGCATGGTACCAATAATAATAGGTAGGTTTGGTGGGTGTTTTATAAAGATGGGTTTTTAACTCTACCAATTCAGTTATCAATACCTATCACACGTATGAACCATGAATCCATGAATCCATGATCATGTTCATGATGATACAAATATATATGATGTCCTTACAGTTTACATACATACATACATACATAGCAAATATCATATCTTTACATTATGTATGATGCATGACATATATGAGATGATGATGGTGATGATGATGATGATGATAATGATGATGATGATGATGGGCGATGGCGAAAATACATACGAGTGTTGAAAGCGATCGCGGCAATTGTTGCAGCGGAAGAGCTTGTCAGGAAAACCCACGTCACCACACATGCAGCAAACAGTTTGAAGATCCACCATCTTCGTTTCTTGAATCAATTCAGGAGTTACACAGAATATTATCTCTATATATCAATTTATCAACAAACACAATCCATAACCGAGAGAGAGTCGGAGAGATAAGTACAAGAAGAGAGAAGGAGAGGGAGAGAGAGAGAGACAGATGAGGGCTAATGGTTTTGGAGTCGGTGTGTAAATTCCATATTTATATATGAAATTAATAAAATTCTATATATTATATCTATATTAGTGGAGATATATACACAGGTAGACCACAGGTTGCTTGCAGTCGTTTTCAGTTAGGGCAGAGGGGGAGGAGAGGTGAACCTTAAAATGGAGGTGGGAAAATGACACTTCTGCCCCCATGCTGAGAGCTTTGCTTCTTGATTCCCTTTCCTATCTTTTCTTTTGCATTTCATTGTCCCAGTTAATATAGGACTATTATTAATTAATTGACATTCCTTAAAAAAAATTAAAATTGCATGTTACGAGTGCTACCACTACGCTCCTCGATGATAAAGTGTGATGTACGCTCTTGGATTCTATGTGTGTGTATATGAACTTTTGCACACGTTTCAGATTTCATCGTACACAAACTACTATTCCATCGATTAAGAATATATATAAAAACACTCACTATTGATATTATATATTTTGATGTTTAATTGCTTATACTTCACATCTTGATGTGGTTACTGTTAATTTTTTATATGGAGGCAAAGCGCAACTTGTTAGCTTCCCTTGAGTATAGGTGGTGCATGAAGTATTCCTTCATGAATACTCAAAAACACGATGGGGGAACATGCACAAACTTTTGCAAATTTAGGCCATATTTAGGATATACGTTTAATTTATTATGTTTAGGACAATACTTGTATCCTCCAACAAGGAGTGCACATATTTCACCCTTTACGAATAACGTATCGTCATTGTATATAAAGTTCATAATCTGAATGTTAAATTTGTAACTCTTTGTATGAAGATTATCCCTACAAAAAATTGTTCCTATCAAAGATTGTTAATGCCTCCAAATGTAGAGAACAAATGGACGACTTGAGTACCAAGTAATATATTTATAATGAATCATATATTTAGTTAATACCTTTGGATGACTAAACAATCTCCAATTCGAATGATTTTTTTTTTTATTATTTGTAGGAATGATCTTCAAACAAACATTAAGAAATTTGAAGGTTTCAATTATAAGATTTATACGATACATATATGTTATTCGCAAGATGGGAGATATGTGTATTCTGAGTAATGTAAGTATTATCCTCTTTAAAAATTTAAGTTTTTATTTTTAAATAATCACTTGAAATTGCTTCATGAATAAGCACTTACCACCACATGCTTCTTTAGAAATACTAAAATGTTTTCTAACTCAAAAATCATTTCACAATTTAGGACAATTAACATTGCAAAAAAATGTTTGCAGTTATTAGAAATCTCTTTTAGCCTTCAACTGAGGTAGAAGGCATCAAATGGATACTCTATTGATGAACCAAGGGGATTTTAGTTGACTGTTTTCACTTACTTTATTGTCATTTACCTATGCTTGAGTGTGTAATCTTGTAACTCATTAACTTGCTATAGATTTTCTCTTATTTAAGTACCTTTATGTTTGGAATATCATCTATACTGTCAGATAACAGAGCAATCCTTCTTAGTTCAATAAAACTTCGGAATTAATTTGGCTCCTCAATAAACAAGGAGGAGTTCCTTTACAATTCACTATGTAGCCGAGTCACAAAACTATTCAAGCTTATAATTGTAACTGTCCATATTATAAATTATTTTGTAAAGATCACCTCATATCATCTCTACAAAAAATCAATTAAATATGAGAAAGTTTTGTCATTGAACTATATAAAAACAGATGAAGGGATTCGGTAAAGTTTTGTCACTGAACTATATAGAAACAGATGAAGGGATTTGGTAAATGAATTATGAACTGTCTATTTGTTTGTTACAAGTGATTGACTAAACAACCTTCTAGTTTTGCGTATGTTTCATGAATCGGTCACTAAGTGAATTGAAGAGGAACTCATTCTCAATCTTGAAGAGTCAATGTAGACATGTAAATTTCATTGCATACAAATGATGCATCACAAAGCTTCACGTGGCATATGACTCATCACAAATGGACAAGTCATCAGTGATACGTGGCACAAATCAAGCAAAGGGAGCTCAAAAGCCTTCCTAAAATTCAGCAACGGGGAAGAAATCTCCTTTAAATTGGCAAGGGGCACAAATTGCTCCTAAAACCGGAAAGAAAGCTAAAGCATCTTAACAAAACAAGCAAGAATTGAAGACTGCTCACAAAATAGGCAACAAGCCCTATATATTTCGACCAAGCAAGGGAAAGTGGCTGAAAACAAGACACAAAGCATGCCTAAATTCTCCCATGGACGAATCAAGACACAAATCAAAGCCAAATCCATCTGAAGGCAAGCTTTGAGAAGTCTATAAATACAAGGTCCTTGGACAAGCATAAGGTTGACAATTTCTACGTTGAAGGACCGAAATTCTCATAAAAGAGAACCCTTGCCAAATCTTAGAAGACTAATACATTGCCAAAGCTCTGTTCGAAGAATGTAAAACCAAAGCCGAAGCTTTCTTTCGACCAAAGCTGAACCTTTCCATTGAAGAATCAATAAGCACTTGTGCCGATTCCTTCAAGACTTTGTTGCAAGCTTAAAACTTGTAACGACGTTCGATTCAAAATCAACTCGCCAAGACCCTTGAATCAACAAAATCCTACATCAACACTACCTTTGTCACAACTTTGAGGTGAAGACTATCCACGCATTGTTTCAAGCTTAAAACTTGAAGCAATCGTTCAATCGTTCGTCTGAGATCAAGTCATTGCGACCCTTGGATCAACAACCTACGCATCTATATCAAATTTGAAGACTGAATTAGAGGAAAATTGTAAACAGAGATTGTAACCCTACAAATTCATCAACATAAATCTACTCTGTATACGTGTTTTCATTTCATTCGTTATAGAATTTTTGTGTAAATGGGTGTTCTGACAAGGTGACTTACTAATTGGGTGTTGCTTCTCAATCAATACGAGATCATCTACGTCCCAGCTAAAGCCGTCAAGGGATAAGCACTAGCAGACTTCCTTGTCAGTTATCCAATCCTAACCGATTGGAAAATCTCATACAACTTCCCTGACGAGGAGGTGTTCTACATCGACATCTTCTCGACATGGACAATGTTATTTGACGGATCAGCACGAACGGACAAAGTAAGGGCAGGAGTAGTATTCAAGTTGCCACAAAGACAAGTACTACCATATTCCTTTTGACTAAGCGAGCTATGCTCCAAAAACGAGAAATGTGTGGCGACTCTAAGCTTATACTTAATCAACTATTGTCTGAATATGAAGTAAGGAAAGAGGATATCCTCCAATACTTTCGACTAGCAACTCAACTACTACAAAAGTTCGAGGTCGTGACATTAGAACATGTGCCAAGAAAAGAAAATCAAATGGTGGACGCTCTCGCTAACCTAGCCTCAAATATGGCGCTAGGAGCAGACGAAGCTGCGAACGTGCCAGTTTGCCAAAGATGGGTGATCTTGTTTGTCACTGAAATGCTACTAGACGATACAAACGTCATATTAGTACTTCTAGTCGACATTGAAGAGTAGAGACATCCACTGATCGACTACTTGGATCATGGAAAGCTTCCAGACAATCCTAGACACCGCTCTGAAATACATCGACGAGCACCTCGCTTCCTCTACTACAAATGAACACTCTATCGACACTATTTTGAAAGAATACTTCTAAGATGCCTAGGTAAGAAAAAAGCCAATCAAGCCATGGAAGAAGCACACTCAAGCGTATGCGGGGTGCATCAGTCTGGACCAAAGTTACATTTCCAGCTCAAACGAATGGGTTACTACTAGCCAAGCATGGTGAAGGATTGCTTGGAGTACGTCAAAAGGTGCCAAGCCTCCCAATCCCATGCCAACTTCATAAATCAACCGCCTGAACCATTACACCCTACAGTTGCTTTATGGCCATTTGATGCATGGGGATTAGACGTCATAAGACTAATCACACCAAAGTCATATGCAGGAAAAGCTTACATCCTAGCCATAACGGATTACTTTTCCAAGTAGGTTGAAGCCGTACCTCTAAGGGAAGTTAAGAAAGCAATTGTCGTCCATTTCATCAAAAGATTATATCATCCATCGATATGGTGTGCCTTGCTACATCATCACTAACAACAAAAAAAAGTTCTCTAATTGACTCATAGACGAGCTCTACAAGAAATATAAATTCAATTAGCACAAGTCTTCCATGTATCATGCTCTGGCCACTGGTCTTGCGGAATCATTCAACAAAACACTGTGCAACCTCCTGAAGAAAGTGATTGGTTGAACAAAGAGTGACTAGCACGAAAGGATAAGTGAAGCACTTTAGGCATATAGGACGACACATATGACTCTTACCCAAGTTACGCCTTATTTTCTCATATATGGCATGGAAGTTGTTCTAAAAAGGAAAATGCAAAGCTACAACTTCAAGAGTTAGAACCACTCGACGAAATGAGGCCCGAAGCTTAACAACACTTGGAATGCTACCAAGCATAGCTATCCAAGGCATTCAACAAGAAGGTCCACCCAAGGTCTTTCCAAACTGGAGATCTTGTATTGGCATTACGAATGCTTATCATTACAACTCACAAGATAAAAAACAAGTTCACATCAAAATGGGATGGACCTTACGTAATACAAGAAGTCTACACCAACGACACCTACTTAATCATGGTGGAAGATGGCTTAAAGATCGGCCCCATCAATGGCAGATTCTTGAAGCGTTACTACCCCTAAACCAAACAAGCAATGCTCCTCGCTTGTATGAGCCTAAACTGCACATGACATAAACCTCTTCCCCTGCATGAGCCTATAGTGCACACGGCAACAATGCTCTTTGTTTGCACGAGCTTAAAAGGCGACACCCAATGCTTCTTGTTTGCACAAGCTTAAAAGGCAGCACCCAAAGCTCCTGGCCCACAAGAGCATAAACTGTGTACAACAAAATCACCATCAAAACTGTCAAAGCCATCATAAAACAATCCATCATTCCTTTGTACTACGTCATGACTTGATCCCTCTTCAATCGTGGGTACGTAGGCAACTTGAAACTTCAAAACTTCAAGTACAGTCACATCACCAAAAAAAAAAAAAATG